ATATGGAACTCAGAAGTCTTCAGTATAGCTTTCTTTTTTAATAAATCTGTAGCATGTTGTATGAAACCCTTAACATAAGAATGGTTTTCCCTGGTCCCTTGCATACCTAGCAGAAGCACTGGTGGTCCCACATGCTTAGACATGGTAACATTAACATTGTGTTGGGCTTTATCACTTGCATCCTGTTTTATGTTTCTACACTGTAGCACCCTGTTCCTGCTACTCAACCTGCTCGGTGTTTTCATTCTGCGCTGGAATGTCGTGGGTTTGCCAAGGGAAAAATAGTTGTCTATTGTTGAATAAAACGTTAAGTAAACGTTTGTTGAATGTGATCCAAACTTATGAAAATGCTAATTAAAAAACAATTCTCAGCAGGAAAGTAATATATCATGTAAAAAGTGCATCCGAAAAATTACACCTGCTGACAAAAGGCTTTTGTGATACAGTGTAATGTTCTGCTGCAGCTACAATATGGATTTTTTTCTGAAGAATAATGAATTTTATATGCAGCAGCCTAAGTTGCATCACAGTTTTGGTGCTGGAACTTGGACTGTGCACTGTGTTTGTTGGTGGGATGGAATGTACCCTGGCTGAGTTTATGGATGATGCCAGGGAAGGAGTAGTTAATAAGCTGGAGGGCAGGGCTGGCAAGCTCTCAGCAAGCTCAGAGTGGGCTGAAGGATCCTCAGAAACTTCCACAAGGACAGGTGAAGTGCAAGCCCTGCACTACCAGCTGCAGGCAGGCTGGCTGGGAGCACCTCTGAGCAAAAGACCCTGAGCATCCTGGTGAGCAGCGAGCTGAGCATGGACCAGCCACGTGTCTGTGGCCTGTATCCAGCTGTGCTAATCTGTCGGAATCTGAAGGTATTGGTGATTCCGAGATTGTAGAAAGTCTCTGTCTTTCTGCCCCGTTGTCAAAGAAGAAGCCATGATTCGTCTGTGCTGTTTTCAAGGTTGTTTATTCTGTTTATCTCTAACATGTTCTGCTGCCCTGCCGCAGGTCTGTCCTGCAGGGCAGCGTGTGGGGCTCTGCCCTCAGTGGGATGTTACAAACATTATATACCAGAAACTACCTGTGCTATATTTACAATAATGTGCCAATACCTATCATCTACGTTGAACAGTGTGTCCCCAGCCTAAACCAATAGAAAAATGCCAACACTACAGTGAAACATGGAGGGCATGAAGAAGGAGGAAAAGGACAAGACACACCCAATTCCTCCATCTTGTCCCCTCTGAACCCCTAATCTAGAAATCTAAAATTTTACTTTTGCACCCGTGTCACACTTAATTATTACTCTTATCAAACACTCAAAGCTTGTAATTCATCCTGTAAGATTGAAAACTCCTCTCCATGGACAGCATGAGAAGCTGACAAACTGGAGAGACCTCAGCAGAGTGCCGCTAAGCTGGGAGGGAACTTTGAGTACCTGGCACATGAGGAGAGGCTTAGGAAATACATTTGTGTAGTCTGGGGAAATGGGACAGGCGCTCTTGCAGCCTTCCATTGTGCAAGGGGGTCTGAGAGATGGACATGGGTTCTTAAGCTGCCCAGGGAAAGCGTGTGGGCAGTGGGTGTGAGCTATGTCAAGGGGAGTCCTGGCTGGATGTAAGGGAGAAGAGCTCGCAGTGGCAGGGGTGACACCTTCCCCCTGAGAACCACTGGTACCCCCAGAGGTCTTGGAGTTGTGGTCATTGCAGAATGTGGCTGGTTGAGGCTCAGAGGAGCTTTCTCTAATGCCTGTCCTGGTCTGAAGTCTTTGAGAGTACCAGATTCCCATTCATTTCCAACATATATCACTCTATGGTAATGCTTGTCCTAAATTTTCTTAACAATTATTATCAGTATCTAGTGGTGAAATTCCAGCTAAACTCTGAGCATAGTAGAACTTTGAATTTTGAATTGTGCTAGTTTAGAAAGACATAAAATTTTCAGTTAACATAAAACTTACTGTCTTTGATCTACATATTTTCATCTTGTTGCTGCCATAATCATCTTAGCAAATAGAGACTTGGTTGACAAAACCTTTGTCTTTTATTGAAAAAATTAAACTTCATTAGGTGTTTCAGCTGCCTCTGGAAAACATCTGGCCATTCTTTTTGTGTTAAATGAATGATTTAGATTTTTAGGTGGTTCTTCTTGCTCAAGAAAATGAAAATGTTTTGTTGAATGTGCAGTTCTAAATTTATTTGATCTTTCATTATTTTTCATTTTACTTCCATTGTCTGACCCAAGTGTGTACCCAAGTGGGTTTGTTTATCTACTCAGATTACATTTTGGACAGAGTATTATGTTGTTTTATATGCAAACTCACTCAAAACCTTAACATCTTAAATAGGAGATTATATTCCTAGTCAAGATGGAGTTGAACTAATAATAATTTGTGTTTAAATCAAGCATAAATTTTAATTAACCATAACATTATGGTGAACTAACACTATACTATGATAAATTACCTAAAAATAATACTTAAAGAATAAAATTTAAGTGTGTCATGCCACTGAACCTTTGGGATTTGTGGGCTAACCAACACAAACGCACTGTTTTCAGAATGAAATGCTAAATTAATGGTTGGCATCTTGCTGTCATGCAAGATGTTTCCATATTTTCCGTTTGGTTTCTTTCAGTAAATAGTTTGTTAAAAGCTGAGAGAATTCTTGGGAGTCGTAAAGATGGAAATACTTGGGTTTATTTGTTAATCCATGAATAAAAGCAAGGTGTGAATTATGTATTAGTTCCACAGTTTCGAGGACCACAAGGGAAGAAAATAATCAGTCCAAGTCAATTGAAGATAAAATTTCATGTCTTTAATATGTTAATTTAAAATTTAAAAGATACTTCCTTTACCTTTTCTATAATTTGATGTATTTTTATTTAACGGTTGATTTCCATCCAAAAGCAGTTTGAAAAAAAAGAAAGAAATGAATCACCTATTAAAAAAAGAAATAACATTCTAGCATTTTCTAGGAAAATGAATAAAATCCTGACTGTATGCCTGTTAAATTATATAAATTTGGTTTGTAACCTTGTGATCAATAAAAAGCATGTTGATTAATGTAAAGGCTGTATTTGGTGGAACACCATTTTATATTAGAAGTTGAATGTTTGAGTAAAGATCTCTTGCTTTATAAAACAGTAGGTAGCAATGCAGAATCCGAATCTAGAATTAGTATTTTGTGATACAATTCAAACTGGTTGATTTCACTGAGAGCAGTGAATATAAATAAAATCTCTTGGTGCTCTCTTCCCTCAGTGAGTTTTAGGTGAATCCTTATTTTTAACTACCTGGCATCTGTGTAATGAAAAATCCCTTTATTTTTTTGCCATAATTTTTATTTTTTCTTCACTGCTGAATTTAACAGGGAAGAAATTCTAGGGAGAAGACTTTCAGTCACTCTTCTGGTTTGATGATTGCAATGACTTTAAAGAAGATTGTAATCTCCTCCCTCTGTCCGGTTTTGGGTTTTGTTTGTTTGTTCTTTAATGCTGTGTTATTATAAAAGCGGATTATGTTTTTAATTTATTTTTTCTTATGTTTTTCTTGCAAAATCCTTTCTGAATGAAAATGGTGTTGCCTAGCTTCTAGAATGCACTGAAAAGAGGGAATTATATTGCTATTGCAACTGGATTTTGTAAGGGTGATGACTCTACAAAACTCCTGGGATCCTCAGACTCACTGATACTTAATTTCCTATTCAAGAGTATATTTGAAGCTTGTATTTCATATTTCTGAGTATGTTGACATAAAATGAGCATTATTTTTACTTTTATGGACTTTTTTTTTTTTAGAAGAGTTGCATTTTCTTCCATTTATTTGATCCCTTCTATCCTTTCTCACTCCAATATATGGATTTCCTACAGTTATTTCTTTAAAGTGTAAATTTAAGTAGAAATAGAGGTGTTTTCTTAAAGCTTTACAGTACCATCTGCTAGTGTTACCAATTAAGAGTTTGAAGTATTGGTTGATATCATTACATGCTGTATTGTATGTCATAATTAATTTATTATGGAATCGAGAGCAATAAGTGCTTTATAATGTATTTCCATATTTTTGAGATGGGCAGAATTTTGTTACCTAAAGCTTGTTTTAGTGCATTTTGAAGTGTCTAGAGCCAAGGAGTGATTAATGGATATGAAATAGATGTTTTGTGAGGTTTTGTATTTTCATGAGATTGCAGAGAACTGGGTATGAAAACCCAGGCAGTTCCCCTCAGTTCTGTATTCGTGTCCATGCACTCTTTTGTTGTCAGTAGAAAAAGGCTGAGTAGATTAGGGTATACTTAAGAGAAGCCATAGCTTCATGTAGTTTAGAATTTTAAGGTTTGATCATGGGGCATATCACTCCAAAATATTTTTAGTTTAGATATTATGTGTTGGTGTTTTGTTTACAGTTTATAATTCCAATTAAAATGGTCTTTATTAAAAGGTAAAAAACCCATTGAATTTCTAGCAATGATTTTATTATTCTCAAATAAATATCTCAAGGTCTATGCAGCTGGTTTTTTTATTTAAAAATTACTAAAGGAGAAATTCTGGGCAAATCAAGTATTTGTTAATAGGGTTGGTTTTTTGGGGTCATTTGTTTGTTTGTTTTTACTGTGGAAGATAATAATAATGTTATTTTGGCATTCTATTATATTGGAAATTTTTTTGATATTTCACAATTCTTCTGTAGGGTAGTTCTCACCAAACAGGAAATTATCTTTATACTTGGGAAACATTAGTGTGGCTTCAGTTAAGGTGCTTGCTTTTGTAATTTTATCTGTATAAATTCAGTGTAAAGCATTTTGAACTGTTCCACCTTTAGCAATATTAAGCCAAAGGCACATTTATTGTTTTTTCCAAATGATTTAATGTAGAATTTGAAAATTTGTTAAGTTAATCCTCTGCATTTTATTAATTGACAGAGTTTTGGAACTTCTTTTTCACTGTTTATAAGTTTTATTAAGAAATAAAATACATTTTATTTGTTGTTTTCTAATGGTGTATTTCTGCACAGGTGGAGAACGAACTTGTGGTGTACATGAACTGATCTGCATCAGAAAAGGTAAGCAATGATTTGTAAAAGTGAACTCCTTAGCTTGTGAATATTCCTGGTGAGAAATCTGCTGCCCAGTGTTGTGGTCTGACGTTTTGTGGATCTTAGTGCTGCATTTTTGTGTTGCAGAATATTTTGATGCTGACAGTGTCAATAGGAAAAAATAGTGGATTTGTAAAATAAAATTTGCTTTTTCACAAGAAGGAAAAATGTGCTCTTCCAAAATTTACTGAGTTACATGGAATTTGTGAATGTTGTTTAGCTGCGATAAAAACCTTGATTTTTGCTTTATCCAGATATTTGTAGAATTATATGATTTTCAGGATTATATGATTTTCATTTGCAGGACTATATGATTATATAATTTGCAGGATTATATGATTTTCAGTAATAGAAAGTTGTGAGGATATTTTGAAAAACTGATGCATGAACTGTCAATGTCTGCCTCTGATTTCAGGTGAGATCATAATGACTCAAACTTCTTTGCAAACTGCTGCAGAAACAGTGAGACCAGCAACTGACAGAGCACAGGGCAGAGCTGTGCTCCAGGGAGGGCTGTTACAGCTTAAAGCTGAGCTACAGTGACTGAAGTTGGAGCTCAGCAGCACAGCTCAGCTGATGTAAAGGCTAGATACAGTTCTGTTTTCTGTCCCTTTTGGCAGCACTGTGCTCCTTCCAACAGCATTGCTGTTGAATTTCTGTCTGCTCATCTTAAAGCTAATCCAAAACACAAAAAAAGGTTTCTTCAAGGATTAGATCCTTGAATTGAGTCTCAGGTCAGAAGAGTCTCAGTGTTTTCAAAAGGAAGGAGTAAGAAAACATGGTGGGAGAGGAGTGAGGCTGCAAGACTCTTTTGACAACAACTGTTAGACTGCCTCTATAGTATTGTCAAACCACATCATACTCTGTGGGAAGAAATTTTGTTTATCCTCTTAGTTTCCATTGCATTCAGTGAGACATTTTGGTAAAATTGTTTGAGTTTATTGAAACATTCATTTAACAATGCCTACCCTCAGACTTAAGTCTACCAGTTAAGGTCAAATTAGCTTTATGGTCTCAAATAATCTTTTCCAAATATCCGTTGAAAGAATTTTTGAGTGTGTATGTGTTACAGTACTGTAATTAAGAATATTTCTCTGCTTCTCTAAACTGTGAATAATTTAGATCTTGCTTTTATAAAATTCTTTCTCATTTGGGAGGGGAGGTGAATTTTTTATTTTTATTGCTGTCTCTCTTTTTCCATTGACAGATAAGGTGGTACAGACAGTGCTCTGATTTCCTTCTGTAATAGCTCACGTTTATTTTTCCGAATTGAGAAACTCACTGGAGTTTCAGAAAGCCTTCTGATAAACTTTCAAGATCTGTTAATCTTGCTAATCCTTATTTATTTTAGGATGCTGCACTGATTTTAAGAAAAACAAATCTTCTGTGTTCTTGGAGACAGTGCTGTATGTTTTTAATGTTAATTGCTGGGAAGTTAAATTGAAAAGATGTGGGGTTTTGTTAAGATTCTGTGTTATATTTGGGCATTGAATTCTAAGCTCTGTTAGCCATTGTTGCAATAAATTAAATAAAAATAGCATGGAACTTGTGTTTTACCATTGATGGTTATAAATTAGCCTAGGGCTAAGTGTGATTAAAAGAGAAATATCCTCTTAATGCCATTTATACTTGCATTATGTGGGTTCCTTTTTAGTTCACATGAGTCTCCATGTATATTCTAACCTTGTGTGTCCCTGTGTTACTGACAAATTTCTCCTTGTGGTGCATGGATTTGGTGCATTCTTGTTTGTCTTCACTCCCTACTTGACATGTACCTTTAAAGCAGAAGGTGCTTCCAGTCACATGGAGTTTTGGTTACTTTGTGTAAGACTTTACATCTTCTCATACACATTCGAGATGCTTTTATTGTCTGACCAAGGCCAGGCTCCTAAGGATTACTTTCTTTGCCAGTTGTCCAGCTCTGCTTGCTTGCCAGGATGAGATTGCAGACTCAAGATCTCTACTGACATCCTCAGAATAGGAAGGCATTTCCAAGCTGAGAGTTCCTGGCTGCCAGCAGTCTCGAGCTGGTCAAATCAGACCTTCCAGCTTTGTCCTTCATGTCACTGGGTGCTCATGTCAAGCTTATACGGGATGGAGTTTCCCACCTCTTGGCTGTGCCCTGAAAGCTAAGCCATTTTTTGGTCTGTGAGCTCACAGTAGAAGTTGAATGGACAGATTAAGTGTTCACATTGACACATGGGTAATGCCCTGTAGCCTTTTCTGTTGCTGGGTAAGGTTGCAGTGTGCCCTTCTCCTTTTTCTCTGGTGTCTGTGTGACTGTGGCACCAGGAGAGTCCATTCCAGCACTCCTGGCATTCATCCATTCCCTCATTTCATCGACTACTGTCTGTGAGGCTTTGAGAGCTGGTGATGTTTGACAAAATGGTTCTCTGTTTGCTATTTGCCTGAAAGCCTCTCGTGCTTTCTGCCAGGGGATGGTGGGTAACTGTGGCTGCTTTGTGACTGGAGTTGGAATGCCTGTGTGGAACTTCTGAAAGAAACATAGGTAGGAAATAGCCTGCAATAAGTAACTGGAGTTCTTCCAGTGTGCACTTGTGCTTTGCTTGTCTGTCCACCTTACAGTGCTTCCAAGTACATGGCTGTTGAGAAGCAACTAATAGTATAAATAGTGATGTTCCATCTTTTTTTTTTTTTCCTGCACTGAATAGGGAAAAGGGAAAAGTAAGCAAGCAAGTAAGCATGTGTCTTCTATGAATAATACATGGGAAAACTTTCCGGTTTCAAGTGATGGAATGTAATTACAATTTATATGGGGATTATATGACTTGAAGAACACCTATTGTTGGTGATTAATTTTTTCTTTCTAGTCAGCAGAGTAACACATTCCTAAATTGTGTTTTTCTTGCCTGCCCTTTCATTTTTTGTTAGGAAAATAGGAACCTTGAAGTATCAGATGATGAAATGTGGACCAGAAAGGTCTTCAAAGCTGTGACTACACCATTTAGCTCAAATAACATAATGAAAACTTCTTAGCTGTAGTTGAAGGCATAGCTGTAAAAGCAAAACCTAAGCCTTTAAAAGGAAATGTCTGCTCTAAGGTTATTCAGATGTAAAAATGAAAATAACTTGAAACCTCAATTTTCCTGTTTTTTAGGTTTTGAATTTCTCAGGTTAAATCAGTTTAAATGATAGACTCAGAGGTTTGCAAGTACCAGTTATAATGTTCATTGAATATCTGAGATTGTGTCAGTTCTAGTGTAAATATGATCCCAGTATGATATTGATACAGGACTCAGCTTTGTTACCCAAAGATGTAGCAATTGGCTGGCACAGTCCTCCTCCTTTGTCACATTAATGTTATTATAATTTTGTAGTTGCCCAAGAGAGACTGTGGTGGTCCCCCTGTTGGCTGCACAAGAAGGCTTGCAGTACTTTTGTAGGTTTTTTCACTTGGTTTCCTTTTAGCAGATTCATACATTTTTGAGAAGAATCTGCAAAGAGCTGATCAGGAGTAAGGAGACTAATAGGCTTTTCTGGAAAGCCTTAAAAACTAATTCTTATGTATTTTTAAAGAGGCTTCCTCTAAATGCATAAATATAGGGAGAGTGTGTCCTGAAAATTGGAGTATTTAGTGGCTGTTATATAACATCTAATAGCTACAAAATACTGAACAAGTCACTTTCCAGCTTGTAAAAAAGAACTTTAAAGATGCATGATCAGCTATTGGGGAATCACTGAAATAGGTGTCTTCTGTGTTTAACATACTTAAATAGTTAAGCGTTTGTGTGGTTTTATATTTACACATTATGGAAATTTGGAAATTAGAAAAATGGAAAAGTATATACTTGCTTTTATTATCAATTAACATCTTGTTTATGTCTATTATTTAATGCAAGTTTGTGTTCACACATTTTAGTGTTTGACAATACAAACTGAAGACTTGGCTGTGGAAAGAAAAATCTGCTTAGTTTTTGACATCAGAAGGTGACAGAGTTTCTCTGAAACTACTTAACAGTTTGTGGTTTTGCTGGATGTCTTCCTAGTATCCAGCTGTTTCTGAGAGAGGATATTTGTGTAAGTTGTTCCTTTGGTTATTTACTGTGGACATAAAAGAATTCAGGGAACTTGAGATTAGACTTGAGAACAATATCTCTTTTTTAGCTGTATAGTGTAACTGCAACTCTAACTTGGAATTAGCTGTTGTTATATTTAGTAATATTTTAATTAAGGCTGTTTCAGGTTCTCTTTGTACAAACACGACAGATTTGTGATGAGTGTTTACGATATTGAGCTATAACTGAAGAAACTCCTCTTTAATATATTCTGATATATTCTGCTGTGTATTGACTGTGTGACATGGAAGTGACATTAGAGGAGAAAATATATGGCCATATTATTTTTAGGTTTCTTTCACCCAACATATTTCACTTGTTTATTTTTGAAGTAGTGCAAAGTGATAACTTCTAACTCAGCAATGTGTTTTGTATTTAATTCATGGAAATGTAGATTGAGTATCCAAGTAAGGGCTGAGTTGCACAGAAGTTTCAAAATTATTTTTAAGCCCTTTTTTCTTTTGCAAGATGTTCTTTCCTTTTTATTGTTGTGGCAGTCTTGCAAACAAAGGAAATTATTCAGCAAACTGACTTTGTGACTAAGAATGGAACAGAAGTGCTCTCTTTAATATGCAAAAGAGAAGTTGCAAAAAGACAATGTCTGATAATGAAAAATGTCACTTGTAATAATAATCTGAAAAGATAAGAAGGTCTGAATTTTTGCTTTGTCAGAAGTATGTTTTAAGTAGAACTATTCCTCTTTAATGGTCTGGTCAACTATCCTTATCCATTTGCATGTGTCTGAATGTTAAGCTGACAACTGCACTTATTCCAAATGGCAAAAAGTAACGTTTATTCATGAGTTTAATTTTACAGTAGAAACATTATTAAGTTGAAAGTCAACTGGATCTGATACTCAAGTTAACTTACACTATTTGTGATAGTCTATAC